GAGTGCTTTTGCATCTCTTCTGAGTTAATTGTCTCCAGAACAGTGCTTGCGTGAACTCATTTCTCAGCCTCAGGCACAGATGAGCTCGAGGGGCTTCTGCTTCCTGTTTCTGTTCACCTGTGCAGGACCTGTGTCAGCTCACAGACAGACCTGAGTAATAAATCTGCACTTCATAAAAGACTATAGGCTCTAGTTATAAACCTGTCAGTCACATTTCTGTCAATATTTGCATTAGCAGTCGAGTTTAATGTTCTTCTTCTTTTGTTATCTAAGTACATATTGTTATAGGATGTTATAGGTGTACTTTTTAGGGATGCACCGATCCGATGCTCAGTATCCGTATCGGCTCTGATACTGCCATTTTCTGTCGGGTTGGGAATCGGACAAGACCGATCCAAATCTGATACTGTGCGTATACTATTCTGTGTTATTATTAAGCCCCACGAAAGACACAAAAACATTATAAAGCACCATAAAGTTTATCTTGCTGGAGTTTAGTGCTGTTTCTAAAGCATATTCTACCGGGTGTCTGTTAGATCACAACACTGGAGTAGAGAGCACTATGAATTGTTTTTTTACGTGCACAGTAACTGAAGTTTAAAACTGTTAAAAGAAAAGACTCTATCACACATATAATACACTACGCATCAATATTTCTTCCCTTTGTGCTTTGAACTTTTCTATGCCACATTGCTTCAAGCGCATCATTCTGTGCACGGGATGTGCATAAGCGCTTTGTGCCGGTCTGTATTGGAGCCTTTCATGTTATAATACTTTTGCGCAATGAAAGATTGTTAATAGCCTTTCTTGTTCTGTTCTGTCCTATCTATCATATGTTGCTGCCTCATTACTGTGCTATACATTTAAAAGAAATGTCTTTTAATTTTATAGTATATATTTATATATAAATAAATACATTTATTGTTTTTCATAAATGCATTTTACAACAATACAAAGAGCAATGTGTAACATTTTTTTCATTTGTTATTTTTCTGTATAATGAAGTTGTCTATATTTAGTAGATTGTGTTTAACATACAAAACAGTGATGATCAGGTTAACACACAGAGGTATAGAAATTCTATATTGATTAAAAAAAAAACTGTGCTGTATCAGATCGTTATTGGTATCAGCCGATACTCAGAATTTTTGGTATCGGATCGGTTCTGAAAACAAATGGTATTGTGCATCCCAAGTACTTTTGTAATTTGTCATATTCAACCTCTGAAATATCCAATTGATGCAGTTTTTTTTTTGTTTATTATATTTTCATTACTATATAGCCTAATTATTTTATTTTTGTATTTTGTAACCACCCAAAACACCCTAGCAACCACCCAGAATACCCTACCAACCCCATAGCAAAAATCCTGAACACCATAGCAACATCCCATCACCCTACCAACCACCAAGAATATCCTACTAACCCCACAGCAGTAACACCAAAATAACCACCTAGCAATGCCCTAGTTATTATCTTTATTATACTTTTTGTTGTAATTATTTTTTATTTACTCATTTAAACATATTTTGAGAGCACACAACTCTATGAACAAATAGAAGCTGACATTCAGTAAGTAGAAAGAAAATGCTACTATTTGTATTTTTGTAAATTGTATTTTTTTTTTTTTTTTTTACGATTAAACAAGTTGGCTGTGTTCATGCAGTCAATAGTTATGTATGTTTGGATGAATCCAATCCAATTTCAGATTCTGACATTTCTGTTCACATGAACCCTAAACTTTTAGTTCATGTATTCCAAACAAAACCTCAACATAAGCGCAGTTGCCATGTTCAGAACCAGATAAAGCCAAAGTGAATGTTACCGGAGCTACTGCAAGTATAACTGTACTTTTTATCATGATGACATATCTAAAAAGACAGCTGACATATACATCAAAAGAGCTTTTTTTTAGCAAATATTTAGTAAGCATTCAGTCTCCATTTACCAGTTTGTAACATAAGATTTACTTAAACATACGCATGTTCATAAGACATAAAACGTTTGAAAACATACACATCACAGCACTCCGCATGTACACAAGGTAGGTTTTATTTTGACTGAGAAAACTGTCAAATTCAAGCATTTCTGTGCTTAAATTCTTTCCTATTGATCACATTATTTCAGGTGTGCACCACCCATTCCAATCCCATTGAAATTTCATTCAGATCAATTGATTGAGGTGTTTGTTTACATAAAGAATTTTCAGTCCCATTACTAATGAATTATTTGGTTGCATCTAAACTTAGCTAATGTTTGAGATATATTCAATTTTTATACCAGGTGTGACTCTCAAATAGTATAGTATATTTAAAGGGTGACAAGAACGGATAAAATAACGTCTGCATAGACAGGCATCAGAGACAATCCTCTTCTCCAATTCATATAATAATGCATGTTACCACAGAGAAAGAAAACCATATACCTGTAGCAAATATCAAAACTAATTTTGTCTTCACGGATTTGATTCTTATTCTCAACTGTTTGGCATTTCAAAACACTGGTTCCAATCCTTTCCAAACTCCCCAGCCTCACAATATTTTTCATTTTTCATAACCTGAGAGAGGTTTGTAGCACTCACATTAGTGATAGACAGGAATGAAATTATGTACTGCATATCAATGATGTGATGACAGCAGGTCTATTCATAAAGCACATTATCAACTGAACTTACTCTCAAAAATCTCTCAACAAACTGTGACTTTATATTTCAAGTAGTGAGTCTGATTATGATTCAAGTCTCTTTCATAATCGAACACAACCATACCCTTGTGAAAAATACACTTTATCATACTTTTAAAAAGAGTAGGGTAAACATACCTATTAAACTCACCAAAATCTACATTGAGGCATTTTTAGTGAACAAGATATTGGTTTCAGTACAAAAAATTATGTTAAAATAAAATATTAATCTCTCACACAAAAATATTAAATTTTATTTTAAATGACAAAAGCATTTCAATTAAGATTAAGTCTGTCTGTGCTTAATGGGTACATGCTTGTACCCTTTAAGCACACCCCTGTTCCCATTAAGCTCACATCATGTTTTATTAAAAATTCTTGTTTATTTTAAGTACATTTTTTAAAGAATAATTGTAAAAAAAAAAATTTTTTTTGAAGGTGCAATGTCAATCACAAAAAAAAACAGAACACTAAAATCAAGCAACAAGGTATTCAAGTCGATCAGTTATATTCATAATGAAGTGTCATTTAAGCACATTGCAACATCTATACTAGTCCACGTTCAAGCTAAGTAACACATTCAAAAATCAAATAAAACAAACCAATAAAACATTTAATTCATGGGGATGAACACAGAAACTTATCTATAGTCTCTTAAGTCTGGAATACACTACATGATTTTTGCCCCGATTTTCCACTGATTTACAGTCTGGAGAAGTTGATGCTAGTTGCCGAAGGTCAGAGCCAGTCTGCAGATTTGAGTCGACAGAATCCATAGAAAATCAATTAACTTAACTTAAAGTGACAACCATCAGTTTATAGGCTATGTAAAGTCTGTTTATGAAGTATTTACATAGACGTTTAATGTAGAACAGCTTAAAGAGAGCACACTGAGCTTAATTGGAGCAGCAACAATTTGTAATACATTTCATGTAATATTTATTAAAATGACAGGATTTTGCTAAATAAATAATGTAGGTCATGTATTAAGTTCATACATATTTTAATATGAACAACTATTATTAACAATATCTATGAAATTATACTTTTTCTTACTGATGTCACACTGAAGCTGTGTGATTTTCATAGTAGTGAACCCTTTAAGCTCACCTTAAAATAATATGAAATCTTTAAAAAATTACAGCACTGTAAGACCACAGACCAGCAATAAACTGACAATTTATAATATTATGGATGTAAAAGTACAAGCCAGTAATGCCTGTGAAGTAATATATTAGCGTAGCACACAATCTTACACAGCTAGTCAGCTAACTGTGTTCTGTAGCATCTGCGCTATGCTGCTAAAACTCTCTTTTGGATCTAATGTAATTATTTCCCACATCCAAGTTCAAGGTTATAATATGCAAAAGTCTGAACATTAATCTCTTAATTTTACAATAAGTAGTGAAACTTACCCAAAGTGGTTAAGACATCAAGTAGGATAATCAATTATTTTTTCTTTTTATAATCTGATCTCAAAAATGGAAGTGTGCTTAATGGGTACGTGAGCTTAATAGGTACGTTTACCCTACTTATTATGGAAATAACTTTAAAAGAATAAACTGAATGCAATGTTTTCAGACACTTAACTGCATGTCATAAATGAAAATGTATTATAGTTTAAATTTATATTAAATGCAATTAAGTAAACTTACGAGTGTTTTTGACCCACTAAAGTAAGACTTTCATAATTAATTATATTGTGTTTTTTAGATTGCTTCTATGGTCTTTTTGATTATATATTTTGTAATTACACATATTTTGTAATGATTAAGTCATAATTTAGTAAATTTAAACTGATTTAAAATGTTATATCAAATAACACACCGCAGTTAACACATTACAGAATTATAATCAAGTACTTTAGTGTTAAATAACACTTCAAAATAATTGTACTTTAAAGCACAACAAAAGATTATTAAAACATAATGATTTAAAATGTACTTTAAAATTAAACTTTTAATTTGACATTATTACAAAGTGCATGAAAGTGTACTCTCTTTAAGTGGCCTTTTACTTCATTAATACTATATTCTCTGCTTTTAAGTTTTTAAAAATATATTTTTAAGTTTCAAACACTCCAATTGAGCATTCAGTACAATTAAGAACACTTCTTTTTCACAAGGGTATTTATCACTCCAAATGGGACTGGCAACTGTATTACGCTGCTGTGGGACAATGAAAACAATGAGATGAGCTTCTTCAAACCAATGACAGCCAGATAATGTGAGCAAGAGCTTTTACATTTGACAAATGTGACATTTAACACCAGCCTTTCATTCCTCCTTGACCCCCCCCCCACCGCATGTTACACTTACCACGGGCTTTCTGGCTGATGTCCCGGAGAAGCACTTCATAACGGATGGGTTCATCATCTTCATTAAACACCATGTCATCTGCTGTGATGTTGTCATCTCGCATCTGTGTGTACAGCCCCTCCACGGCAAAGTAGCACGGCCGGTCGTCGTTCTTATTATCGCTAAACATGAGCATAGCGTGTTTGTGCCAACCGAAATGCCGGTGCATCCTGGCCACAAACTCGCCCAGCTTCTTGTGCGTGGGGCCGATGTTGGTGATGGAAGAGTACAAATTGAAACCCAGTGCTCTCGCCCCACCTGTGATCATCGGAACCTCCCAATGTGTGGTGAAACGGGCTACAGGTGAGGAAGAGTAGTCACAACCCGGCCCGATGAAAGCCCAGGGGTTATATGAGAACTTCAGGTCCACGGCCACGAGAGGAGCCACTGAATCCGAACACACTCCTTCCTTGTTTTCGCTGCTGTTGAAGACCAGTTGTAGATGGTAGCCTGGCAGCAGGTTGGGGTCAGAGTTCACCTTGTCCAGGGCCCAGTGCAAGGCAGGGCCAACCCGAGGCCATGCCCAGGGGTACTCTGTGTTGTGTAGAGGCAGGATGACTGCCAGGGTGATGTTCTGTTGAGGCGGATGGGGATGGAGTGACTGAGGCTGCTTTTGAGCGAGCGGCTCCAGTTCAACCACTCCAAATGACACACCGCTCAGCAGAACTAGAAGAGTGAGCCTCAGCGGCCCCATCCGGAACACTTCCATTCTCAAAATGAATGGGAAGGACTAAGACTCTGAAAACATCAAAACAGAGACCCACTTGAGACATACTTTTAGCAGAACTGAAAATGCCCACCATTCACAGTTATTGTCGACAGAAATGAAACAAGAAAATAAACTGTATACAACTAAAAATGGCTACAACAATAAGCAGTGTTAGAGTTTCTTCAGTGCAAAAGATTCTTCAGATAATTAAAAAGTTATTCACACTAAGAAAAAGTTGTTCTCTTGAGAAATGAGAGTTGCATGATAGCATAACTGAGAAGACTACGCTGTGTAATAGTAAACACATATGACGCGTTCTGGCGTTCAACAACATCTGGACGGAGCGCTCACAACCGAATTAAACTAAACCACGGGGTCTGGAGTCACGTTTTTAAAAGTTTAACTTTTCATTTTACACACCTTAAAAAGCAAAACTGGAAGAAGAAGAAAACGTTGGACTTCTTAAACGTAACGCAAGTGTATAGAGAACAACATTTACCAGCGTAGTCGACGGGGACGCAAGAGCGCGCTCTCACTTCAACCTAATATATTAAAACACACCTTTGATATAAAACATAATTTTCAATAGTCAAAAACAATAAAATTAGTTTAAATAATATTTTACCACAGATCAGGTCGTCATTTGGTGTCATAATCCCTCTGTAATCCTTGCCTTCCTCTGTAAATTAAAATCCGTGTCTCGTGAATGCGGCGCGCATCTCTCGGAGAAAACGCGTCGATTTTTTTCAGCTCAAACCGACTCATCCAATTTACAGGAGTGAAACTTTAGTATCTTGACCCTCTCCACAGAAATCAGCATGATTTCTCAAGCTCCCTTCTTTCTCCGAACGTGCTGAGGAAACGGGATTCGTAAAGAGGAAATCTTTCCCTTTCCTGGTGCGCATGTGAATTTCTTGGAAACTTTGTTAATGAGTATCGAGGCTTCTTTAGTTAAAAATTATTGAACGTGTCCTCTTCTCCTTGCTGTTTTCCCGACTGGAGAAGATGGGCAAATCTCAGCGGGTGTGGATTTGATTCAGTATGCGCGCGATGGCACAACAAAAGTGAAATCAACGTAAAAATTACGTTCACGTTTGCATCTACAAAACTCGAATCTTCATGAGGAAAAACGCAAAGATTTTATAAAATAAAATGAAACGTGTGGGTTTATTGTGAGGCACAGTCTGTGTTTGAAGGCTGTTCTCCCCTCAGGCTCATCCACTGAGTGTTGGGTCAGTCAAAGCGACGTGAAGCTCTAGGTGGGAGGAGGAGAGAACTGAGAGAGGGAATGACACAGTGTGCGACCTTAAGTGCAGGCGGGAGAGGAGGATGAGGAGGAGGAGAAAGAGAGGTGTAGAAAGAATGTTTACAGCACTGTTGCGCAGCCATGTGGCATCATTACCCCATTCTGTCATCAGAACCTCAAATAGATAGACAGATAGACAGACAGACAGACAGACAGATAGATAGATAGAACATTCATTCCTAATTTATTCTTAATTTTAAAATGTATTTCTGTTTTAAAAAATGTACAATTTTGCTTTTATACATTTGCTTACCCCAATATTTAATAAATGGTTACCATATACATTTATGGTCATATATATATATTGTGTGTGTGTGTGTGTGTGTTTTAAATGAATACTGACCGATTAGGACATTTGTGGCTCATTAATTGTGAATTAATCATTTGTTTAGGAATTACATTGCTGTTTGACATATGTTTGTTGTAGCTACAAGATCACTGTGCCCTACACAGGATGAGCAGCCACTTTA